ATTGCGTCATCAGTTTCATTGAGATGCGCCCGTACAGACGGTTTTTTGGCAATTATAGTGGCGCCTGTGTTTTGCCGTCATGTTTCTTAATTCCTTGGGACACGTCAATTATATTTTTGTTTGAAAACGTGAATACGACTCATACAAATTCCATCCTCAATAACAATACCACAATAAACCATTTATCATCTCCTCTTTGTAAAATTAATACAACAGTACGATATAAACATAAGACAGTTCAATTTACATAATACACAACAGTAATAAACAATAAAAGCAATTTAAGAAAAGAATCACCAACCAACAAATATACAAAATTCGCCAAAAATTATAATTTATCAAATCAAATGTTCTTTAAGAACTATCGAGAAATCTATTCAAAAGAACTATTTTCCAGGAATACTAAATATTCCTACTAAGAAAACTTTTAATTGCAAAGGGTTAACAATCTCCTCTCCGCATTACATGGAAATCAACCTTAACCATTCCTCGCGTTTCCGTAACGCAGTCCCCGAACAACCTAAAATTGAAGAACTGGTGAAAATGCGACCTGATTCCCGATAGATTTACGACAATAACAAATGCCAGCGGCCAGAGGCGCCCGTCATTTCTATCTCCCTTTTTTTGACGTTTCGCAGCACCAGGTAAATTATCGTGTCTCGACCCTTCGAACTCACAAGTGGAACGTAACCGATCCGATGAACCCGACGACCGGCGATTACGTCGAACGATGATCCAACTAAAATCCTTTGACTCGTGAGAAGGAACAGTAAAATTTTGGGAATAGGACACATCCGTTGAAAACCGACGACGGAACACGACCGTCGGGCCAGAGCGTCGCGAAGTCGTCGACTGTCTCGAAAACGAATCGACGGTCGCGCGGTCTCGCTGTCTTGGCCAGTGGGAACATGAAATCGAAACTCGACCGTTTCTCCGCCGTCGACAACAACCGCAAAATTCGTCCGCGTGTCGCAGGCATATCGGAACTCGGTCACCGTTCGTCGTGCCGCCATCGGCGCCGGGATAACAGCCGACGATAATGAGCCAGTCAACGGCACCGCTTCATCCATCAGGTTGGCTGGATATGGACCACCAATATGTCCGCTCTTCCAGCGTGATTAACCCTTTCAAGACGGAGTTTTCGTGACCACTTTTCGAAAAACGATCTGCTAATGGATGTTACAGATGTCTGACACTTAACTCTTATGTTAGCAACCAATGTTTGTATTTGTTCAAACTCCAGTGCTATATTTTTGTGTAAATTTCTGGTTTCTCAAGAAGGAATTCACACGCAAGTGTCGGAGAAATAGAGATTCTGTCAAATTTTTTGTAAGAATATAAGAAAATGAGTTGTTGGATATGTGTATGGGTACCTGGTGGATGACATAAGGGTTAACTGAACTTTTGACAGCGAGAAATCGTGGTAGTAGTTTAAGATTCGATTTATACTCAGACTGAATTGTCGTAAACTGTTTGTTTCTGATATTTTGATGTAATTATGCTAGAGTATATTCGGTTCTTTTGCAAATTCAGAGAATACGGGAGTTGCGAGCAGCACAGAGAAAATTGCAATGTCAACTACGGGAAATAAGGGCATCGGAACTGCTCAAAGGAACAAGGCTTCGACAAATCCGATACCTCGCAATACGACTCACGTTTGTATTAATAAAATGTTATGCTTCGTATCTATGACTCTTATATAAAACCTGAGACGGTTGTTATGCCATCCAGCAAATACTGCATCAATAAGTAAACCATTATTTTCCTTTAACAAGGTGTACATTCAATCGATTGTAACGTGTATGTTCAATATTTCTTTATATGAAAATTCTACCTAGAAGATAATACTCTAATACCGAATTACTTGTCGACGAAAATAACAAATAATGTTTCGAAATAATTTGTATGAAATGCAAATATTAATAAATAATATAAATGTAAATAATAATAAAATTAGTGAATGACATAAATATAAATTATAATAAAATTAATAAATAATATCAACATAAATATACGATAAAATGTAATTTCAGAAGGAAATAACAGATAACACGACAGACGATGCTTCGAGTAGCACTAGATCGCAGAACAATTCCGCTCGTCGTTCACCCGTAAAACCCCAACCGGCGGTCAGCCCCACTGCGCACAGGAGGCCGTCATCATCGACGTCTGCCGCTTCATCTGCAATGAAATTCGAGAAGCAATATCTCATGAAAAAGAATCGGTTCCAACTGCTGAGGAAAGATCTGATAGATAAACAGGTAATAATCTGCAGACGCGTTTGATTACGCGATAGCTGAACCTCCCCAGTTTTATGATTCTTATCGCCATAACTATAAACCCTCTTGACCCCAATAGCAAAAGTCTCGATCGTGGGGGCAACAAAATTTAGCGAATTCGAATTTCAAAAACTACGAACAAAAGTTTTTATTAGTAACTTTCTATCTTTCTAATACTTTCATCATAGGAGACTACAGTCATTCGTTGACAATTAATCAATCATTGTCAATTACAAGATGTTCTATACACAGATAGCTCGTATATAGAAGCGCTAGAGTAAAAAATGAATATTTCTGTTGTGATTAGTGATAATAAATATATTCAACACTGGAACATTCATATGGTTGTGCATTCACGTATACTCTATAACATATGGTTCAATTTAATTACTGCAGCCTCGCTATCACAAATTCTCACGGGTCACCGCTGGTTTTATACATTTACCATAGCTATTTTATGTATAAAGGCATCGTTTCTCTAAATTAATTTCCAATATCCACAGAAACTGGCTCAAAACCTGTACAACGAGTTATCGCAGCTTCGCGAAAAGGTGATCGCCAGTGGTACAAAGGACCCAGGGAAATTGGATGACCTGAAGATCGAGATAGGATCCCCTAAGCAGGTTGTTTCTCCTGTGTCAGTCGTGCAGAATGATCAAGAGGACACTAACGAGGACAAGCTACCAATTGGCAGCGAATACGTGGAACGTTTGGAAAGGCAGCTACAAAACATTCCACAGAAGACTCAGGATCTTTGCTTGGATATATTGAATAAGCAAACCGAGCTGGTGGCTTTTGTGACCGCACATTTAAAGCCCGACACCGATGAATCTGAGGGTGATAATATAAACGTGGAGCTGACTACGCAGCTGGAAATGCAGCAGAGGGACTACGAAAAACTGCAGTTGTGCTTGGAGGAGGCAGCGGTGGCAGAAGCGAAGACGATCGCAGAAATCGTAATGGATGCTCGCGGTACGAAAAAATATCTGTTTATGAATGATTTGAAAAGATTAATGTAAGAATAATATGTTAATGAATCTATGAATTGATATACTGGAATAATATGTGAAATTTAGAAGTTAATATGTTAATATAATAATATTTTATATTTCTGATGTGCTGTTTTTTAAATTTAGAAATTAATATATTAATATAATAATATCTGGAATTTATGAACTAACAGATTGATATAGGAATATCTATAATATCCCAAAGAATTAATAATTTAAAATAATCGCAGATATGATAGAAAAGTACGAGGCCAACCGAACGAAGCAGAAAGAACTGAAGAAGGTGGAGGATCAAAAGAAGCTGCAGTCTCAGCTGACCAGTACGGTGGAGGAGCTGCAAATGGAGAAAGAAAAGAACAATCAAGTCAAGGAACGTTTGCGACAGGCGGAGTCACAGCTGCAGAAAGCCAGGGCGAAGATACGCGAGCTGGAAGCACACGCGGTGAACGACGAAGGAAAGATTCAGGTACTTCAGACAAACCTGAAGAATTTGGACACGCAGATGAAGCAGAAGGATCAGGCGATGGAGTCAAAGATGAAAGATATGCAGAAGACGTTGAAGAGCAGCGAGGCCTTGATCATCAAGGTCGAGAAGCAACGAGACAGCTTCGAGACACGGTTGTTTTTCCTGCTATACTGTACAGTGGTCTTGTTAATTGCTCGCTAATTGGTAGACCACGAATCGTGTGAATGTAGATTTTTCTATTTTATTTTGTAAAAAGGAGATGCAAAACTAGAGTCTTATTTTGAATATTAAATGTTTCGAAAAATTGAGAGTTTTATTGAATTTTTATTATACGCTTTTCTTTGTTATATACGGTTTGTTCCGGAGAGAAAATATTCTGTGAAAAGAGAACTGGTGAAATTGAAAGATGATTATTTTCTGCGACACTTTGAAAGGATTATCATAAGCGTCTTGCAATTAACGAGATCCTATTAATTAAAGAAACCCGTGTTCCATATTTTCTTGACTTAAATTATTGTAGACTGTTCGAACTAAAAGAGAAAATGAGTTCAAAGGAGAACGATACTATGAGCACGATCAAAGAACTGTCGGAGAAGCTGGACGCTGTTACCTGCGAACTTGGCATGGAGAGAGAGAAGAAGTACAAAACTTTCTTACCCCTCGAGTACTGTTCAGATCAATTTGAAAGTAAAAAGCTGGTTTCCGTTTTTAATTACAGTTTTTTACGCAGGAGTGTTTACATTGGCACTGTATCAACAAGAATTTAATGAAATATGAACTTTAAAACGATTTCATTTACAAAATGTAAATGTAACAATTACTTGAACAGTGCATGAGAATTAATCTTTAAAATTGTCATCATTCAAGAAGATCGACTTTTCCGTTATTTTCAAATTATTTGATAAATCAGAATTAGAAAGAAAAATCAGCGATGCATTGTAATCAGTGTTATTAACAATACACGTTTCGTTTTAAATAGACAGCAAATCGAGGAAGCCTTCGTTGAGCTGGAAGAGCGGTACAGACAACTCGAAGAAAAATGCAACCAAGTTTGCGAACTCGCAGAGAAGAACAAAGATTTTACGATTACTGGTATGAAACTCGTCAAACGTTTAGGTCAAAATTTGCATTAATTGCAACGAGATGTTTATAATTAGAGGGCAATCACTCGGAGAACGAAGTTCGATTGTTTAATGAGCTGCAGGAGGCAAAAATTCAGTTGGAGACGCAGAAGCAGATGACGATGCAGCTGCAGCAGGAAAAGGAAGAGATCGTAGCAGTGATGCATCAAGCGGCCGTTAGTTTGCACTACTTTCGGGGCATGTCCTCTGATAAGTCCTAAGAACTGCTTGATTAGACCCTTTTGTTCGTTAAACGATTCTTCCGATCTCGTCGACGATCCGTGATAATTGTTGATCATTCTTTTCCTGTCTTCGTTCTCGTGGACTAACCAGAACCATGACTCGGAGCAAGACTCGAGGGAGAAACTGGCTGCCAAATTGGTATTGAAGACGAACGAGATGAAGAACCTGGTGAAACAGTACTTAGATTTAAAGAAGATCGCAAAAAACGCGTAAGCTATATATATATATATTTCTCTTATATTTCTCGTGAAATGTTTCAAAAGGTAGCATTAGTTATCGAGAGGTATCTTTAAGTTCATATTCTTCGCGGAACAATCCACAGCCAAGAAAAAAGTGGGACGTTAGAAAAGCAATTGGCGGAGATTCAGGCGAGGGTGCAATCGCAGACGAAAGAGGGTGGGAAAGCTGGGCTAAGCGCTCAGGCAATCGAGCTTCTGCAAGAGGTTTCCGATCTTCGAAATAATTTGGCGGAAGTAATTCAGCAAAAGGAAGAGCTGGAGGATGCGCTCACCAAGAAGCAATTGGAGCTGGAGCAGCGTGACCATGTGATGCGTGAACAGAGCAAGTTTCTTAAGGTACGGGACGAGCTGTTGGACATCTTGAAAGGCAAGACTGAACAACAGAATGGGGAGCTGTCGAACAGCGACGAGAACAACGAGTACATTGATCAGGTATTTAAATCGATGTGGTAATTAAATATTTTATACATAGATCAAAACATCAATATTATTAGGCTTCCTTCTAAATATAAAATAATCTCACATTAAAAAACAGTTTATTTTATTCATTTTGAAATTCAAATCTTAAGTTTTTAAGGTGGAAAGATTAATTATCATTTTTAAATTCAAATTAAAGTTTAAGGATTTAACAGAAATCTTTAAATCAAGATATGAGAAAAATTACAAATTGAATTTAATATAATAAACAGATAGCACTAAAGACAGAGGCAATTCAAGAATTGTATGCCACTCTGAAGAGCAAGCAGATGCAGATAATGCGATTGGAGAAGATGGTGAAGTTGATGGAGGACCAGCAGGACCGTGCCCAGGCTCAACGCACGCGTTTGGAGAACCGCATTGCTCAGCTGGAGGTTGCCCTGCAGAGAAACAAGGAACAGCGGTATGTCAGGGTTACGTGGTCCCCTCCTGCCAAGTCTGAAACAGACGGTGATCAGAATCACTCTAGCCATGCTGATCAACCTCATTTACAACATTCACCTGTCTCGCAATATTCTCCTCATTATAATCCATACGGGTCAATTATTAAAAAGTCGAATGCTATACTCAGTACTATAGCTTCGCAAACTGACAATCAGTCCTGCCATGATTCTGACGTCAGTCTGCAACAGACTTCCTCCAACGAGGAATCATTGTACATATGTGAGCGTTGTCGCAACGAAATTATATCTTCAAATAAAGATACTGAACAGTGGTCGAAGGAAGACAGATCCAATGATGATGTTCATGAACCTTTACATAAGAGGTTCATAGACGGATCCACTCTAGGGAAAACGAAATATTTCATTAATACACCTAATTTCCATGATAACGTTTATCATGACCCACCTACAATCATTCGAGGTAGAAGATTCACCTCTGCGAGGAGCAACCCCTATGGAGAATTTGCTAATGTGCATAATAGTAGCAGGGAGTTGCATGAAAATTTCCTAGGAGAAGGCCATCAACATCTGCACGCTCTTCGTTATCATGTTCGTCTATTGCCGATGAATAGGTTTCCCCCTCACAAAGAGGAACTGTAAAATTGTTTCCTTTTGTTCCTCTCCTTAAGACATCTTTGATATTTGGCAAGTACTGGTTGCTGTAGCGAAGAATTTTGTATTGATAGGAATGAAGAGTACCTTTCTGGCAATATCGTAATTATCATTGTTTTGTGGCGTAATTAGTAAAATACTATAAACGCATGACAGTGTTTAAACAAATTTGTTGTTCTTGTTTCTGAAGATATTATTACACCAATTCAAATATGGTTTTTAGTCGTTACAGATATTTTGATTCTTGTGACATGTCATTTTCCTCTACTGGTAATAAAAATTCGTACGTCTAATAGTACTGTTCTATAGAAAAATATGTAATGTACATTTATAAATAAATTTGAATGTTGTATTTATATGGTCTGATTTAATAGGCTAGGTACTCCCTGCTACAGACTTTGCAATGATGTATTGTTGATTTGAAAGTTCCTTACAAAGTGCCTAGCCTTTGAAACAGACCAATTCTCAATGTCCTCATCTCTGATCGATTTTGTTTCCTATGTTCTAGGGGTAAAAACTTCATCCACCTGTAAGGAACTTTCTGAACATCGTCAATACAAATGTCCAAATGAAATTAAATTGAGTGGTCCTATCACAAAGGGATTTTGTGATACTAACCATACATGTGGTGGGTAACACGATGCAATGATTAATAATCACAGTCGTTTGAAACAAAAATTGTTCAAATTTTTAAAAAAATTTAATGCAAATTGATTATTAATTCAGATTTTAAATTTATTGGAATCAATTCGTTGTATCAAATCAATCATGTTTAATTTATATGTGTATTCAATGATGCCTATTTATATTTGTATACTCTATTTATAGGTACAGTGTATTTTATAATAAATTTTATAAAATTTAATTTTATGTACAATTGAACACTGTATTAATCACTATCATTTTCACTGCTGTCAGAATAAGCTCCTAATAAGGATAAAGCATTGTGAGTATTATTTAATTTACTATCTGCAGTTTCTGACTTGCTAACATTTACATTGTTATTACTGTTGTTCTTGGTAGGAGCAATTGTTTCTTCTACAGTCTCAGTTTGTGCTTCTTCTTTCTCTGTATTACTGTGTGGAGAACTTGAATTCACTTTTACACCTAAATTTGTTTTTCTTTTCACAATTGCTAATATATTTTTTTTACTTGACGATGGTCCCACATTTTTGGACCAAAGTGATGTATCAGATATTTTTGTAGATTGACTAGATTTAGCCTAGAATAAAAAAAAATATTATTGACATGTGTCATTTGTGTATTAATAATTAATAGTAATGCAATTATATTTACATTTTTTTCCTCTGTTCTTGAAATGCTACCACTGTTTTCTTTCTTTTTGCTGGTTTTCATTATTTTCTTTGGTGGCTCATTTCTTTCCTGTTCATCTAATTCAACTATTTCTTCTTCCACAACAACTCCATTTGTTTGTTTCTTACCAAATACTGATTTAATATACTCTTCATCGTATTCTTCTTGTTCCTTTTCTGTTCTAAGTTTAGCTGTTTCTGTGTCAAACTGTTCTAACATCTGATCATAATCAATAGTTTGTTGTCTGCGATTTAAATCTTTCAACTCTTCTAAAGATTCTAATAATTCCAATTCCTGCTTGGATTGTAGCGTTCTTTTTTCTAGGAGCTTCATAGGATTGGTAGCCTCTTCTTCTTTTTCTTCATCCTCTTCCCTCTGTGCTTGCTCTTCTGCCAATTTTAATGCCATAAAATTCCTTGTTGCACCTGCTTCGATCTCATAGTCTGTATTCTTTGGATCTGTTTTGAAACTGATTTCTTGGAGGCATCTGGTGCATTTGATATAGAACCTGTAAATTCGTATTCCTAAGTAGTCATCACCTTCAACATCTTCTTTGCGGGCATTAAATTTCTTTCCTTTATAAATGTATTCTCCACAAGTTTTACATCTCATGTTGAAGGGAGCCATCAGACGTACCGTGTATTGCCTATTTCGGGCTAATTTCATACGAGGTATCTTCGACGGATCGAAATCCGGAGGATAATATTTCTAAAATATAAAAATCGTACATAATTTATTAAATTAAAAGTATAAACACAACATCAACAGAACATATGTGCTTGATTCCTCTTTCAAATTCAGTGTTTTTAATAACATAGGATATTACTTACGTTTAATACTTTTCGCTCCGACATTTTGCGAGGTCAATTCGATAAAATTACCGAAAAAATATTAAATTCCACATAAATAGATGACAATGTACAGGTTATGACTGAGTTAGGTTAGAGTTTGCCAACATTAGTCAGTGATGTGAAAATTCCACTTCGGACAGGGTTACCACACGTATAATATAAAGCATTCATAATCTAAATGTTGCACAGCCTGGAACTGAATATGTTCAAATACAAAACATAAAATGTATTTTTTCAATTGCTAGAATGTAATTCGAATATTTATATAATTGAATTACAATTTCTGCAAATACGAAGTATTCTCTATTATAAATCTTTAGAATCCATTAATTTCAAATCGAACATAGGATATAATATTCAATCTAAATGCAAAACTATAACAAATTACATAATTTAATACATCATAGTACAACGTTATAACATCAATATTTTATAATATTATCTACAGATAAAATACAAAACTATATCGCATTATAAATTTCCAAATATTTGGTGTAATAAGAAACGTATAACTGAATTGGTTTATTTAATGATTAACAATCTCATTGTTAACTAAGTTAGTCTACTGAATTTTTAAAACAAGAAGTTTAGCGAATATTATTAACACAACTAATGCATGAATTACATTAATTTTAAAAAATTGCCTACCTATTACGTCTATCATCCTTATTTGCAAGATCAACACTCGTGATTCATACTTTCACAGTTTGGCACGTTTAGTAATAAAGATCACAACAGAATTTTCGGACTTTACACGATTCAAAAAACCGAACTCCACTGATCGTTGTCCACGATAATTGTTATTGGGGACAATTGCCATACCGTTATAATAATACCCGAAATTTAGTTCACGTGGATAGAATTTGAATCGGTGCTAAGACCTTCCGGATGTTCCTGCAGGTTCTTCTTTCTAACGTGAACTTAATATCGGTAAATATAAAGCGAGCGTTCGACCGAAGGATGAAAGCGAGCGTATAGAAGAAGACCGCACCGACTCAGTTCGTGGAACTGGATTCAATTCAGCTTCGAGTACGCTCGCATAAAGGTTATTCAGCTAAACGCAAGGTCATCGGTATATGACTTGGGTCAATCGAGCGCGTAAAACAGGCGAACAGAAATCTTTGCTAAAAAAGGCCCGCCTTAAAAAACACCACGGTCTCACGTTCCCTTTTTTTGAACCATCAAGTGGTTCGTTTATGAATATATTACCGGAATTGTGTTCTTTCGAAATCTATTACAGGTGCACTGTTTGCTCTACGAGAAGTCCAACAGAAAAGAAGATATAGAAATTAGGAGATATTTTAGAGTTAAGTTGAATGAGGAATGTTTTCAAGGATAGACAAGAATATTGAAGGGAAATACCTGTTCGAGAACATGACAGTTATTGCGAATCATTGTTAAGGTTCTGCAATATTTTGAACAGTCGAAGGTTTATCGGCAGATTCATAAAAATAAAGTAGAAAGTGATGTAAACGGAACAAAGTAAAAGTGAACTTTCAGGTTTTAAATGGAAACCCGATGTATAAACGCTATCGGCGACTGGCTTTTCGAGAATGTTATGTACAACCATGTGTAACCAGATCACTGAGCTATAAAAAAGATATTTTGAAATTTTTATTCAGAAAAATAACATGTTAATGTAACATTAATTTTATTAATCGTTGATTAGTTTTTACAAGTCTTAAAATAATCATGATCTAATAACAAATAATTAATTTCAACGCTTCTATTCATAATATTTATGTATAATTCATTATAAATTCTTCTCTCGTAATTTTCGCTTTATTTACAGTTTCTATAACTTTTTTATCCAATAGCAGTTTATAGCCGACGGTCAGAAATAAATGACAATGATAGAAAAAAATGTATTCATTTATTATGAATTTATTAAATAATATCACTGGGTTGATGAGATCTTTAATAGATGACATGTTCAACTAATTTTTTTGTTTTTGGTAATCAAACGATGGTTACACGTCGGTAGCATTTTTCCAGATTAAATTTACTGCAGTAACTCTAATAAAATATTGTTATGTAAACAGAAATTGAATTGAAAACAAAGTTGTGTCTCAAATAATACTAACATGAACGTCGACATTCCCACCATAGTGAATGGAAACCAATAAGGCACACGGTATGACGAGTCATTACCAATGACAAACGGAACAGATATATTCAAATTTTTCCGATAAAAATGAGGTATAATATATCAATGAATAAAATGAAAATTACTCCGGTTGATAGGGAAAAGGACTATAACACGTTGAATGCCGTGGGGGTCACCGGTGACCCCCAACCAAATCGGATTACTATAGTTCACTCAATTAAACGATGATTATTTAAAAACATTTCTATATTATAAATAATGCTACCTAATGCGATGACATTCAGTTAGATGAACGTGCAGTAATAATAATTTAATTCAATCAAATGATTTGATATCATATCTTTTCCATTTTGTGTATTTTGTTCTATGAAATCGTGCGGCGTTCAACGTGATAAATATAAGAGCACATTTAAAAGTAACTAGATATTAAATGCTCATAATTTACATAGTAATAAAAAATCTTTTTTCTATGTACATATGCATCATACAAATTTCCCCCTTCTTCCACACATTTTTACATCCATACATTTAAAATGTGTATTTCTGTTTTATTTGTTACTAATAGTACTTTCATAATAATTCTTCAAGTATTCGACTTGGAGCTGAATATACTGTGGTTGCAGTTTCGACCATCTCAAGAGAGTGTCGAACGCTTTCTTCATTACTTGTTCAGTGGGTACTTTAGTTTCACTATCGAACTCGTCCATGTCTTCATCGCTATCGTCGTCGTAATTATCATCGTCATCGTCGTCGTCGTCATTCCTCGTTTCATCGTACTTCATGAAATTCTTTTCCGCTTCCTCGCATCGGTATAAAAATTCATTGACAGACTCTTTAGGTTGTTGCTCCCCAGAGATGACGCCAATGATGTCCTGTAGATTGGGTTCCAAAGGATCAACCGGCTCCTCTTTTATCGGAACAACATCAGGGATTTTGTTGATGATCCGATTCCAGGCTTGTTCAACGGTTGCGGCGCTAACTTCAGTCCACGCTTCGGCGAACAGATCAATACAATCTTTGAGATCATAGTCGAAGTAAAATTTTCGTACACCGCCCGGAAAGTTTAAAACACGGCCCAACATTTTCAGCCGGTAGGACCGTTTAGTCTTTTCGGCTACCTCTTGCTCGAGGGGTTGCAAGAGCGAGGCACCGGCTACGGGGAAGAACATAATCTGAATGTCATCAGCCTGCCCAAAATCTCTAGGTAACCCTAAACTCTGCCTCTGATCGTCCTCCAGCAGTAGAACAACTTTACCGACGTTATCAGGGAACTGAAGTATCTTCACGGTCGGTTTAAAATGATTCTCGTACCAGTCAAGAAACGTCGCACGATCCATACGCGCTTCCGGCTGGCTCTTAAAAAGCACAGGCAACCTGTCCCTGCAATGCTTCAACGCTTTCGGCTTCTCGATTCTGTAAATAAACAAGGGTTCAAGCTTACGACAACCGGACACATTGCAACACAGGCTGACGGTTACTCGGTCGCTTTTGAATTTCGCGCCTTTGCTCTTCTTCCTTTGGCACTGTTCTAAGAGCTTCGTGGGGAACGCTTTCCACGCTAGAAACGTGTTTTTCATATAATAAACGTTCTTCCTTGTTACGCCATTGAGTCGCTCGGTAAGGTCTTTCAAAAATTCTTCTGGATGTACTTCGATTGGTAGATTCCCATCTACCGGTGTGTCTAGGTCCGTTATTTCGTCCAGCATTACCTCCTCTTTCACATACACCTCTGTATAGGAGTTTGAATTTCCCGCCTGATCGTCGAGGTTTATACTATGGCGTTCCTTGAAATTCGTGAGCCAGCCTCTGCTGATCGTCGGCCCGCCGAGCTCCTTTTGTAGCTGTACCGCTTTTTCCCAAAGCAAAGAGTCCGTGACCGACGGGCTGGCCGCGTTTTGCTCCGTGTACCAGGAGTACAGCCGCAAGTCCACATCCTCGTCGCCTGGCTTCCGTGTGCTTTCCCGCATCCACATTATATCCTTCTGTTCAGCCGGTTGGCATACCGTTACTGCGTTCCGCCTGATGCGGCGCGCGGTGGTGGGGTGAATGTCAAACTCACCAGCTATCCGGCCGATCGGTGTCCCGGCCTGCAGCCTCTGTACCACATCGAACCTCTCCCGCGCTGACAGCGAGGATTCCTGGTCGATCTTAATGCTGCTCGCCATTTTCGCGAGGGGATTTCCAACACTCGTGTCAGACGAACAACCATTCCACGCGCACAAACGCGGCGAGCAGCGTCCTCGCCTGTCCTTCCGTACACCATCTAGCTGTAACCTACGGCATAATGAACTGGCGCGCATTTCAACTGCGCACCGCGCGTCTAGAGATGGCGCCTTTTTCACCGCCACTCACGAACGCCTAGATCAGACTTGGAACAGACTACTCGTCTTACTGGATCTCTTACACCGTGGAATCTGTTGTATCGACGAAAATTTAGTGAGTTGAACGTTTTACGGCTCAACACATTGCGTGCGGGCCATTTTGTTCATTTCATTATATCAGTTACATTCAATTCATTTATTTATTATTCAACATATTTTCGAGAGTTGCTATTGCAAATAGGAATAATTTCAACCGTACGCAAAAGGAATCAACTATCTACTTTTGTCAAAAATGTTAATGAAGCTATATAAGTATTTATTTAATACTTTAGTACTACGGTACATGAAAATAGTACTTTTACGTTTCCCGCTTACAATGTGTTAACACTAGAACTACCGAGCATTTAACATGTTGACTTCCACGAAAAGCATTAGCGTTTTATGTGACATTTATCCTTCCTATAGCAAAAATACAAAACAAGAATTATTAATTCTTTGATATGAAAATTCTTATATTACCCCATTATCCAGTTATTTACGTTATGGAAAATTTGTATTCGAAATCAATTCCACTTCGAAATTACTTTGAAGTCATAATTATTTTCTTGTAATTTGAAAGCTCCGGTCATCGGTGACCGTCGTGGAAGTCAAAGGGTTAACCCTTTGCACTCGAAAGTTTTTCACTTGAAATATTCAATACTTTCTAGCTACGTGTAGACAAGATTCATTGAAATAAATTTATCAATAAGTCACATGTAAATTAGGGAACAAAGTTATTTTCTTTCAATATTTCCCGTTTTGATGCAGTATACAAATGTTAACGGGAAATGCAAAAAAATATAATATTAAACACTGGTGAGCAAAATACACAAAATGGAAGAAATATAATATTAAATCATTTGACTGAATTGGATTATTATTGCACGTTCATCAAACTGAATGTCACCGCAATGGGTAGCATTATTTATAATATAGAAATGTTTGCGAATAATCATTGTTTAATTGAGTGAATTATAGTAATTCGATTTGCTTGGGGGTCAACGGTGACCACGGCATTCAACATGTTAATATGATTGACATGTAATCCTTATAAAAATTGTAACGACAGATTATTTTCGGTTTCTTCAAACATTCATTATAGTATACAAGTGACATTATTTATTGTCAAAATCATTCCGAATAGTCAATGCTTTAAAGATATCAATAATTGCGAAACAAAAAAAACCGAAACCAGTAATTTTGACCTACCTGGTAGTTCTAGTGTTAAATTGTAGAATAATATTTATTATTGTCTTACGTAATCGAGTACACAAAAAGAATTCCCAATGATAGAACTGAATGAAATGCATTATTTTTGCATTGAAAAGGTGCCTTAATACGTTCCCTACCAGCGAATAATAATATTTTCTTCAATCCAATACATTTTCTAAACAAAATATTTAAAAAAGTGAAACTGAAACGTGTCATTGGGTTACTAAATATAATGTCGTAGTTTATAATTTCTAATAACAATACCCATAGAATTAACCCTTTGCGGACGGAAGTCGGCATTTCGGTAAGATGAAATGTTCGTATTTGGAAGACTAACTCGCGAACAAATGATCTTATTAGTTGATCAGCAAGAGATCTGAACGTAGTTTCCTTTCTTTTCTATTAATTAAGCAATTGATATGTAATCTAGCTTCACATGTTAAAGGCTTTATATATTTCGAAGAATCTTCGTCTGCAAAGGGTTAATTTCATTTTTATTATGTAAAATATAGGATTACGGCCATCACAAATATGTGACGCTGGTGGCGAACGTGTTAATCTGGTAATATAACACTATGCACTGTGTTTCCTTTGTGGCATACGTTCGAAGTTATAACAAAAGTAAAGAAATAATTCGGCTAAAAATGTAATAATTTCTTATTCTTCGCAAATTGTATAATGAAATTCCTTATCATGATTTAATATAAATTTCGCGGAGGTTTCTCATCACGAAAAGGTCGCGAGTTTCCATTATAATAATTCTTTTATATCCGGGGATCCCACCGATGATTGAACACAGCGAAGTGTTCATTCCCCGCCCGAAGCTACAGAGTTTAACGAATCTTCGGCCGGATCTTTAATCCGGCCAGTACAATTTACATTTAACGATGTCGTAAACCCGCCTCGAGGATTCGAAAATTTCA